CAGTGTTAGAAATAAACAAAAATGGGAAAATTAAAGAAATAGGCTTTTTAAAGACAAATTAAAAGAATACACCAAATATATTAGAATACACCGAAACACAAGAATTAAATCAGTTTGTTTGTATTTTTTTTCTATTGTATTCTTTTGGGTTCAAAGAGCTTCAATGGAAACCGACGAGATCACACAAAAAAAAGGAAGAGGGTTGTGGCAACACCAACTTTGGTTTATGATCTTTGTGCTAGCAGTGTACAAATCATTAGCCACAAAGCATTTGAAGCAGAAATTTGTAAATTACCGAAGATTGTGAAAGCCTCACTTGTTGCTCCAAGGATTATTGCCCCACCTCCAATGAACGGTAGCAGTCTACAGATGATTACTCGCGAAGAATTTGAAGATGTTGTTTACAAATCACCTACTTCGAATACCTTCGGTCGTCCTCCATTGTCTCGTTCTTTCAATCTTGGCGAGGGTTCATACTGCTGGGGTTATATCCTAGCTACAAATAATGGAGATGCAGAAGGTAATGATTTTCCTTCCAAAATGGCGATCAAATGTGCACCGGTAACAATTTCTTCAAGTCTTATCAATGAGGAACGAATCCTCATCGGTCTTTCATATCCATATGTTGTATGTTGCTACGGAAGCAAAACAATGACGGCTAGAACTCGACTCGGCAACAGCTATTTCAATTTGATCCTTGAATATTGTGAAGGAGGAAGTATTGCAGATTTTCTTAAAAATTAAGGAGGGATGGCAGAGATCGATGTTCAATTATTTGCGAAAGACATCCTCAAAGGTATTAGCTATATTCACTATAATAAAACCATTCGCTGTGATAACAAGTCGGGTAATATTTTGCTTAAACTTCAGGAAAAAAAAGTTTATGCCTAATCTATTTGAGGCAAAGCTTGCTGATTTTGGTTTAGCGTTGGAAAAAACCCAGATGAGTATAAAGAAGCTAATGGGATGAAACGAGGGACATTGTTATACATGCCTAATTGATTGAATATGCAGCAGAGTGTTAGTTGATGTTGATGGAAACTAAAAAAAAAAACACTAGGCCTAGAAGCTCAAAAACAATGTGAGAATAATCATCAAATTTGGAATAAGAGTTCAGTATGTTGATCAGTTTTATACATCACCAAGATTGAGCAGTTTACATGGATCAATTGAAAAGATTTATCTTTTATGTCTGCCTAATTGAAAACGTTTTTTTCTTCAGCAAATTTTGATTGGACACATACTGATCTTACATATGGTTGCCGAATGATCCAACCGGTATCTTTGGTGGGAAAACTGCCAAGGTTGGCCAGAAACCATTGAAATATCGAAACGGCGATGGTGGCAATCAACTGTTACGACTGAGAACACGGGAGATACATTCTAATACCATGTCTCTCAAGAAGGCCTTTCCAAGAATCAAAAACATCAATTTTAGTATAAAATTTCCTAACTTACAGACACCTAAATTACTCGCACCTGCACTTGATTCTATCAACACTAGAATTATATATAGTATTTTTACAATACAATTTGAAACCTTTAAACCAAATGCATCGATAATCACAGCGAAAGAAAGAAACAAAATTCACCTCGTCGTCGATGCACACACTTTACTTTCCAGATGAGACAAGAGCTTGATGAAACAATAACTAAGGCGGAGGTTTTGAAACACTTCAGATTGTGAGTAAGCAACAACACCATCAAACGAAACAAGGAAAACAAACACAACATTCAAAATTGAAGAAACCTAGACACAAAGAAAGCAGCAATATAGATTTCAAACAACCAAAAAAGCATCCTTTGGCAGATATAGATTCAAGAGAATCAATTAACCTTAAACCTTGAATCATCATATCACCATCTGGAGAACACAAATGCAAACTCTTTCGCACCATAATCCACCCATGAATCATCAGCTTTCTCCGGCCATAATGCTTTCACATGCACCTCGGCTGTTCCTGCTGGCTCATCTCCTCACTATCGACAGAGAGGAGGAGCCATTCGTATTGGCACATAAAATCAATCGAGAGAAAAGAAAACAAAAGGAAAGACGAGATACCTTTGAAGGCGATTGTGCGAAGGTTAGATAAGACAGAGAGGCTAGATTGAAGAGGGTGGAGAGTAGAGGAAAAAGGATGTCGTGTTCCTTTCTAGAGGTCGGAGTGAGATCGGAGACGGTGGCGGTAAAGAACAATGAATTCTGTCGATAATTTTGTTTGTCAATGTTTATAATGGTATAATGGTCTATTCATCTATTATTCGGCCTATTTTTTAAATTCTAAAATATTTGATGTATTCCTTTAATTTGTTTTTTTTAAGTCTATTTATTTAATTTTCCCTAAAAATAATAAGATATCAAAA